ACAAAGATCCTTCCCATCTGTTCCTGTTTGTTTGCTTTTATTTTGACTTCCTTTCGCTGTCTTATCAAATATCACATGAATCATTAACATTTGTTTTCATCGCTTGTTTTGATTTCCTTTGCTTCACATGATTAAGACATTATGTTGAGACAAGGCTCACGCTAACATATTATATATTAACCTCATATTCTTTAGGCAAATATTAAGCCTTCTAGATATAGGATTTTACATGTTTACTTTCTCCCATGTTAATATTCTTCTCCACTCTACAGTAGTAAAGAGTGTGTGCATACAACAGTTTTGTAGAAACTGCAACCCTCATTAGACTACAGGTGTCAGAATGTGGGTTTTGAATAAATAGGTACTGCTTTTAATAAATTTCCTTCCTCATAGGATGTACAGTTTTAAAAACCTTTATGCAAAACATAGGTAAGAATTCCTTGTAGATACTTGTCAGGGATTTCTATTCAAAACTAAGATATACATCCATCCCTACATTGTGTGAAATTTGCAACAGCATTTTCTCCTTGTACTGATATCCACCCAGTGGGGAATGATACTCTTGGTAAAACTTTATAAGGCAGTTTGAAATAGTTGTCATTTGCATGTTATCTTCTTATAAAATTATGTCAAGTAATGTGGCTAATAGAATCCTACCTCACTTACTTTATAAAATGTACTTTTATTCAATATATACTTTTTACATGTGGAATAAGAGTTTCTTTCCATTAGACATTTTCAATAACTTCAAACAAAAGTACAGGACAAAACTTGAAGCCCAAAAGTTAAACTTACTTTGTGAGCTGAAGACAAAGGTAGAATTTTTATGATATATTCCCCATTTCTCTTGTCTTTTTCATTAAAGTAAATATTCTATAAAACCCATAAACTTGAGTCTAATTGTATAATTTTCGACATTAATATTAAACTATCAGATCATACTGAATGTGTATTTAATGTAAGATTGTTGGAAAGCTTGACTGGTTTTGCAAGGCTCTGAGTTCAATTTCAGAACAAAAAAAATGAAAGAAGACCTTAATTAAGCTCATGTTCTGTGATGATATTTAAAACATTTCTTCATCTTGCTATCTATGGATCTAAATCTGCATCATAATAAGCAGCATACAAAACTTCACACCTGTGATGAACTATTCAGTGATCAAGACACTATCGTGTACCAAATTATGGCTGGAAGTATCAAATCACAATGAACTTTGAAACTATTAGGAATTTGTAATTTAAATAGTTTCGCTCAATCCCTACTCCCAAAAGCTTTTAATTAGAACAGACTTTTTAATTAAGTACTCCCATGCACAAAGTTTAGCCTGATGATTTTTCCTGTCATATCAACCTCCTGTACAAAAGCAAATATTCCTCGTGTCAAAGGAAAACCGGGGCTTTTTAAAATTTCCAACAAGAATCTGAGAACTCCAGTTTTGATTACCAGCTGTGCAGACTAAATGAAAGGCCCTGCCCTTGGAGCAGAGTAGCAGGGTGAGACAAGAACAGTGAGTGCACGTCGGATACTCTGTATTTATTCCAATATTTAGTTAAGGAAACGATGCACAATGGAGTAAACACAGACTTTGTATTCCAGTTCACGGCACTACCGTTTGTTTTCCTGTGCGAATGTCTGAGGCTCTAGCTTCCTCAAGCATCTGATCCTTATTTAGGCAAAACAGTAAGAATACTTTGTTTTTGAGATACAGGGAAGTAGAGACTTAATACATTTATCAATTCTTTAGAATTTCATTTTGTCCATACAATGTATTTTTCTTATACTCTCTCTCCCCTCCTCTAACTCAACCTAAGTCCACCCCAGATCCCCAAATGACTCCCAAATTCCTATCTTCCAAATTTATAAAATAACACACCGAGTCCTATTTGTGTTAATATTATCATGGGTGTGGGGTCATACACTAGAGCATAGGCTGCCTACCTGGTGTTATAAAAAAAAAATAATAAAAACTTCGTCTCCTTCCCCCAGAAGTCTTTAACTCTCAGTATCTCCCAGTGGGATGGGAGACTTTTGATGCTCTCCTGACTCTGTGCTAGATCTTTTGTAGATCTTGAACAGCCAATCACAGCTGCTGTGAGTTTGTTAGCCGAGTGGTGCTTTTATGTTAAGAAGACAATTTGGTCCTCCACTCACACTTGGCTTTTAAAATTGTTCTATTTGATTGTCCAAATGGTCCTTGTAGAGGTACAAGTGGAAGTAAGTGTCACAGACACATATTATCAGCACTTTCCCTAGTTGTGTGTTTGGTATTAAACACTGACCATTTTGGCAAGTAATTTTGATGAAATCTGAGAACATCACTAATCTCTGGGTCTAGAAGAATGAGTATAGAGGACAGTTTGATGTGATGTCCATTTGACAAAATAGTAATTAAGTTTATTCTCAGGGCCGACAAGCCATGAGTTCTTGGTCAGTTTACATTGTCAAAGATGCACTTCCTCCTGTGGAAGAGTTTCTAAATCAAATCAGAAAGCAGTTGTTAAGCCCCAAACAATTGTGCCTCTGTTGTTACATTCATGGAATATTTTGTCACGCAGGTCATGACAACTTCAATTCCCCCAGCTTCCTGCATTGACCTGCCAGTATTATGAAGGAAGGTTTCTGATCAGAGTCAACTTAATTTTGCCATGCAGTTTGTGAAGCATGGGGTGTGTGAAACAATAGGGTCTTACCATGAGACAACCTCAACCAACAGAACAAGAGGAAGTTCCCAGATATGACATTGGAATTTTAACTTGTCTACTCCTGACTTCTAAGAGAAACATTATCTCTCCTGTAGGAAAATTAAAATCTCTCTCTCTCTCTCTCTCTCTCTCTC